TTCACTTGACTCTCACCCAGGCTGTTGTTGGTTCCTGAACACTTGAAGAAAATGAAAAAGCTTACTATTGAGTCTTTATTGCATTAGACTCTTTAAAACTTCCAATAGCTGATGCATTTTATGTGATAATGTCAAAAATAGTAGCTTGGCACTAAAAACTCTTTAAAAGTCATTGTGATCTCCAGTCTACATTTCCAACATCGTCACCGACTGCTTCCTGACACAGATTCTATGATTTGGCCAAAACAGTTCATTTACTTTTCTCCTAATGTAACTTATTTCACTTCCAAGAAATTCATACCTACCAAAACACCACCTCCCCACCATTCATTTTCTTCAAAAGCCCATTCAGTCTTCATAATATCATCACTCATCAATGTCATCATTGCTCCAGAGTACTTTTTTTAATNTACTTTTCTCCTAATGTAACTTATTTCACTTCCAAGAAATTCATACCTACCAAAACACCACCTCCCCACCATTCATTTTCTTCAAAAGCCCATTCAGTCTTCATAATATCATCACTCATCAATGTCATCATTGCTCCAGAGTACTTTTTTTAATGTGAATTCCGATTTTAAAAATCATATAAGCTCTCGCTTGGCATATTCCTGGATGCCTGTTTGCTTGGTAACACATAAAATTGTGTTAAAATGTCAAGTGCACTTTGTTTATTTTGTGCATAGCTTCTGTTTATGAAACAGATATATGTACTGTCCCGAATTCCAGGGATCCTTTTCATATTTTAAATTCATCTTTCTAGCTTATCTTTAAATCTTTGAAGTCAGGGTACTCTGCCTATATTCAATATTCAATAAATGCACATTGGTGGATTGATGAAAAAGAACAGATTTAGCAATACCACCAAGCAGAAGAATTGCTGCATCATCACCAGGAACTTTCTGGCTCCGTGGATTAATATGCTGTGGGTACAATTCCATACCAGATTAATTGCTACCCATCATGAAGAAGTTAAAATACTCTCTGAATTTAGAAGTTATACTAGAATTATAATGAAGTTTCTTAATTTTGTGCCAAGCCTGTAGATTGAGTATCTACAATTATTTAGCTGACCTTATTTATTTAGTGATGCTCATTTCCTGAGACTGTTCAGATCTTTGAATTGGAATGGGTACAATTCTAGCCTATAGTCCATATCCTACTGTGTTGTAAGTTGCTTAGAACTAGATATCATATCCTATTATACATTAACCATGGAAATAAGAACTAGCCAGTCTTTAGGATCTCAAAATAAATTTAAGGTGCAGCTTTCTTCTGTTTTCATTCTGATTGTTTTTTCATGGGAAGACAGATTTTTAGGACCATTCGCCACAGACAGATGAATTTTTTCTTTTAAACTAGTCATAAAGAAAAAAATAGAAGATGCCTTATCAGAAAGGAGTAGTTCCTTCAGTTTTCATTGGTAGCTGGCTAGTTAACTAAATGAAGGTAAATCTATGCAGTGTAATACATACAGCCATAAAAAAAGAATGTATGTTTCTCTATGCACTAATACAGAGAGATCTCCGAAATATATGAAGTCAACAAAGCAAGGTGCAGATCAGTGTGTATGATATGCTATCATTTGTATAAATATATATAAAAAAGAATATGGTGGATCTATGTGTGTGTGTAAAAGCTATATCAAGAAGATTATACAGTGTGCTGATTATACCAGTGACTTTGGAAGAGAAGGGAGATGATTAAAATGAAGAAATGAGAAGGAAATATTTCACTGAATACATTTTGTATTTTTAAAATTTGGAACCATGTGACTGTATTAACTATTAAAAATAAATATTTTAAATTTTAGATTGGAAACACAAGATGAAAAATAATTTTCTTAAGCATGACAGAGCCAATGAAAGTTATCTGAAAACAGCAGACTTATATTAAGCCTGGAAGCATCTGGAAAACGCCTTCCAAACTCCTCTTTTTGATCTTGTTGACATTCACAGATGCTTTAGTGTCAAACTCAAGAAATAGGATTAGGGATTTCAAGAGGGAAATAGAGTAAAATCATAGGACTCCCTACAATGGAAAGAATCAGTTACAGAGCCAGTGTATTTGGTCATGAGGTGTTCAGTCAGCTTGGACTTTGAGCACATAATCGAGGCTTGATCCACAGCTACCCAGAACTCATCCACTCCCCCCTTCCCAAGAATGCACTTTAGAGTCAACAGTGTTGAGCAATTCTATGTATCAGATACTTTTTAGGAATCTGAAAAAAATAATATGGCATACAACAGATAACAGAAATCCCTGCTTTCAAGAAACTTACAGTGTTATAGGAAAGAGAGTAATATTTAAGGAGAATATATGTTATATTAAAGTATGCTGATATACTTTATATATACATGTATATATAAAGTATACATGTATATATACTCTATATGTGTGTGTGTGTGTGTGTGTGTGTATATATATATATATATATATGCTTATATATAATGCAATGCTGATTGTTAAGGATTAAAGAAACAGAAGGGAGATTGGATAGGAAATATTGAAGGTGAAGTTACAGTTTCACTAAGGTGACCAGAGAAGGCCTTTTAGAGTAGGAGACGTTTCTTTAAAGCCCTTAAGGAAATGAGACAGTTAGCAATGCATGCAGAAATCCAGCTAAAAGCATTAGCACTTGCAGAGACCTTGATATGATACAGTACCTGGTTTGGTCAATGAACCAATATGGCTGGAGCGAGTGAGTCTGGGGAAGAGCAACAGAAAATGAGGTCAGAAAAGGGGGAGGACATATGTAAATCACTTAGGGCTTTGTTGTTTTTTGAAAGGAACTTGGCTTCCAATACTGAAGGTTGGAAGGTTTAGAACAAAGGATAGACCTGATCCATTTGCATTTTTTAAGAATTATGATTCTGACTGCTATGTATAAAACTACATGAAAGAATTCAAGAGCAGAGGTAAGAATGCTACTGGGAAAATAAATGAAATAGTCCAGGAGACAGAAGATGTACATACACTGGAAAGTAGAGAAAAGTAGGAGAATAGAAGATAAATTTTGATAGTAGATTCAGTAGAAGGTGTTGACTGTCAGATGTGGACAGGGCGATAAAATTAAGGGTCAGATTGTCAAAGCAGACTCAAGATGAATTACAGATCTTACCTACTAGCAGGTTTACTAATAATTCTTGGATACAGATCATAGCTAAACACAAGCCAAGCATTTTTCCCTTGGAAAGATATGAAGCCATGAATACAGCTCTCCATAAAATGATCTTTTCGTGCTTGAGGACATAGTACTCTGGTTCAGATTTAACATGAGAAGTTTAAATCCTGTAGGTGATACAGCGCTTGCACAAGAGTCATTTCATTTGTGAAGCATCTTCTTATTAGGTCTTGTTAATTACATAACATGAAAGGTCAACCAGGTCATCTATTCCTTCCCAGATAGATTAAGGTAACAAACAGATTGCAAGTCTATTACTAACTTTTGCTTTCTAGAGAGCAAGGGGAGTCAAATATGGTGTTCAGGATAAATTCCTGAACTGAGTTGTTACCTGTAATGAGGAAGACAGTGAGAAGAGAAGTCACTCTGGAGTAAAACTGTAATAGCTCAACTTTGCACCTTCTAAGCTTAAGGTATAAATTTGGCATTTTAGGTAGAAATGTTAATTAGCTATATGAATCTGGCATTCAGGGAGAAATCAGGAATATAGATACAAATTTGGGAATCATTAGTATGTTGACAGTATTTAAAGCCCCGAGATAACATGTGATCATCTGAAGAATGAGAGTGGTTGAAAAACTAAAACATAAAATAGCAATATTAGAATCAATAAAAAAAGAGAGGGCCAAAATGTTAGTTAAGGGCCTTAATATATATTAAGGAGACTTCCTATAGGAGAGAAGTCTGCAACTCAGAAAAGGGCCCTCATCTGGCCAAGCTGCTACCCTGATCTTGTACCTCTAGTCTCCAAAACTGTGAGAAATAAATTTCTGTTGTTCACAAGCAGAAATGAATAAATAAATATTAAAGCACCAATACAGTTGCGAAAAACCTGCTTTTGTTTGTATTTATAAATTTATGTAATGTTTTGTGTATGTTTATATTGTAAGTAAATAATTATACAAATATACATATTCAAATTTAATATATTTATATTCAATGCAAAAATTGAGTACAGTTGCTATTGTTCTTTCTTAACTGTTTGGAAGAATTCACAGTACTATGTATGGAGTATTTTGCAAAAAACAAAATAAAAAAATTAAAATGAAATCTATTCAAATCTCTAAACCTAATGACCAATTCAAAAAAAATTTGAGAAAGTCCAGGAAAAGTTAAATGACATATGAAGAAGCAATTAACCATGTAACAACTAAAGAAATTTTACAGGATAAATGACCTGATTTCTTCTAGTAGTGTGACAATATACAGCCTTGACGGACTCCTTTTCCTATTTGGAACCAGTCTGTTGTTCCCTGTCTAGTTCTAACTGTTGCCTCCTGACCTACATACAGGTTTCTCAAGTGGCAGGTCAGGTGGTCTGGTATGCCCATCTCTTTCAGAATTTTCCACTGTTTATTGTGATCCACACAGTCAAAGGCTTTGGCATAGTCAATAAAGCAGAAGAAAGGAGGAATAGTTAGTTACAAATGGAAGTATTGACCATATGTGGGTTTTAATTTGAACAAATCAACAGCAGAAGCCATTTTGAAAGAAAGTAGAAACTTGAACATCAACTGCCTATTAGAAGACATGAACAAATTATGTTTATTATTAGGTATTCTAATGCATACTTAGTTGCTCAGCCATGTCCAACTCTTTGCAATGCCATGGACTCTAGCCTACCAGGCTCCTCTGTCCATGGGGTATCCCAGGCAAGAATACTGAAGTGGGTTGCCATTCCCTACTCCAGGGGATCTTGCTGACACAGGGATCAAACTTGTGTCTCCTGCATTGGCAGGCAGGTTCTATACCACTATGTCACCTAGGAAGCCCCATTTTATTTATTTATTTTTTTTTTACAGCTTACACATACTTTATTTACTTGATTGAGATCTGTCTTACGGTACATAAAATGTTTCTGTAGTTCATCTCAGCTTTGTTCACAATGAAGTGAATTATATCTGGGTTTTCTATGCTCAAGACTGCTCAGTTGCTGCTGCCACCGCCATTGGTTTGTTTTCTCGCAGGATCAAGGTGGGTACTTTCGTATAAAATCTTGTTTTTAATTCCTTCTCTGGCAAGTCTTTCCTGGATTCTTAGCTTTGCATAATTATACCTACAGTGGAACCTAGTAAGGAGAATGTGAATAAATTACCAATATGACATACCTATGGGAACTAATTTGAAGTTTTTAAAAGCTTACAGATGACTGTCAGTGGTACCATAGGCAGGGATGAAGTGAGCATTAGGATAAAAGGTTGAGGCCTTCCTAAATGAAATATAAACCCTGACATGGCATAATGCAGTGTCTGATGTCGCATTCATCTGTTGATTTGACAAATGACACAAAACACATGGGTATATATACATATTTAAAGGCAGTCCAGCAATATCATTTTGTAAGATAATCTTAAGTAGGGGTGGGAATCTCCCAGTGGGGGATTGCTGAGCATAGCATGTGCTTTGGAATTGGATTAACCTTATTAAAATCTTGAATACTTAACACTCATACCAGCATCCTAAAGTCACCACGATAAATCCTCCTACTCCAACGTCACATGATCTTCTAATTCTGCCTGTCGAAAGGAATCATAAACACTATAATCAGGATTGTGATACTTCATCTAGAACAAAACTGTAAACACATAGAGAAATGTTTTTTATACATGAAGAAAAACAGATATACTCACTAGTTAACAAAAAATGTCCAAGGCCAGCCACAACAGATCCTAATGAACCATATAATATCGAATCCCGTGCACAGGGAATGTTTTCAACATCTAAAATTCCTAGGAGTTTAAAGGGCTTCCCTTTCCCGGGTTCCCCGGGCTCCGGCGCCGCCATGGGGACTGTCAGCGCCGCCGCCCCGCCCCGCCCTGCCGCCGACGGCCGCCGTGGGCGGACGCCCCAAGGAAGCCCCATTTTAAAGGGACTATCATTTTTAAAAATGATTATCTTTTAGAGACACATATTGAAGTATTTCAAGTTAACTTATAGGATTTCTGGGATAAAGAAAACTTCAGAAAAAATTAAAGTAAAATAAAAAGTAAAAGTGAAATAGATGAGTCAAAATTAGCATTGTCTGTAGTAAAGAGTTAACTTTATAAAAGAAAAGCAAAAAGATATTGTTAGCTAATAAATGTACACATCTGCTTCAATCTAATTGCTGCTGCTGCTGTAAACTAATACACCTTGTTCTCTATCATACATGGTTTCTGTTAAACTTTGAGAAAATTTTCAATATTGATATGTATTTTATTGACTATCTTTTATAGACATTTTAATCATCTATAAAAGGATATCAATTATCCCAATTTTGTAAAAGTTTGGAATTTAATGAGAAGAACCACAGCACTGTTTAAACATAAGTTTTTTATGAACATGATAGTCAACCAGCAACAGTTTGCTGCAGGAAATAGGACAAGAATTGTATTTTCTCTGTTCATGATGCCTTTAAATCTCTCTTTAATGTCCCCTATTGAAAGAATATAACTGGGAGTCATGTGGGAAGGAGAAATAAAGTTCATAGTCACAGAGTTGAATATAAATGAGTACATTTGAGACCAAGACATAATAACAAGAACTGACAAGCAGAATATCTGTTGCTTTGAGTACTGAGGTTTAGTATTTGTTTTTTCTTTATAGTCAAATAATGTAAATTGTATAGAATGATGACTGATCAAGGTTGACTTTTTTTTTTTAAGTAGTTAAGTCCTGATTCCTATTTGTGGATATATGGATAAAGTACTGAAATTCTACACACCATAGTCTTTTCACCCATAATATGGGGCTAATAATGAAATCTACTTCACAAAGTTGTTGTAAAGAAAAGATAAAATGTAAAATGAGTAGCCTGGTCACATGGTACCTGGTTAATAAGTATAAACTGCTATATTTCTTTTATAATTATCATCTTTCAATCATTATCATCATTGGGATTTCTGTTTTTTAACTTAAATGCATAAAATATTTAGTGAAAAATACAAGAACATAAATATTTTGATAATTTAGTAGCCAGAGTATTTTTAATATTGTCATTCATATGTTCATTTTGCACATTACCACCTTTAAGCACATTATATTTAATATTCAAAATAATACTAAGGGGTGAAAGTGATTAATGTCTTCAGCCTCAGCTAACCTATTATAGCTCTGAAAATCCAGGAACGCACGAGAGATTTTCCTTTGGAGGTAAGGAGATCCATTGATTCAGCTAGATGGCTTTAGGTTTGATGTACACATCCACTGCAAATGTTATTTCATTCAGTATGTTTAACACTAATCAAGCATCCTTGAAGAAACATACTTGAGATGGCAGAAGTGCTCTCTTCAAATTGTCCTCAAGTTTAGGTTGGAGTTTACAAAGCAATTCAACGATGTGCCGCTGATTAGTGATGGATCATGCAGTCACAGAGTTTAAGCAGCAGCTGAGTAACCGTACAGTTAACAGTGAAACAAAGTCGAAGTGCTGAGAAATGCCTCAATGAACAGATGATTGTTTCAAGGATGACGTGTGTTCCCTCTTTTTTATTTACAATGAATATAAAGCCACCTCCATTACTCTTCATTAGGATGGGATATTTATGTTGGCTTTGTTTTTTGGTCTTACTACTTTCACTGATTTTATTCCCCCAGAGAAATTAAATCTACCAGAAAGCAATTTCTGAACAAGCATTTTTAAGTTATCACTTTTATGAGTGATAGTGATTTAAAATTTTAAAAAATTAATTAAATTAAATTAATTAAAATAAGTAATATTTAATATTAAATGACCTTTCTATTGTATGGTTAAATAATACTCTAATAGAAAACTGACTTTTAAAAACCAGCGTTTTAAAGTCACAAAATAAACTACATACATTTTTCCAGATGTGCTTATGTATTCAACATGTTCTAGCAATACCTATCCTGAAGCAAAGATTTGGCTGAATGCACTTGACCTTCTATTTACAATTAATTTTAATAATATTTGCCATTTGTGGTTTTTCCCTTTTGCCAAGTTTATATCCTTTCTATTCTTCCCCATTTAACAATTTGAAATACTATACATAATGAGAAGATTCTGTTCAATATGCTGAAAAATTCAAGAGAATTTTTTGTCAGCTGCCTTCTCCCTTCTCTCAGGCCCTTATTATTTCTTGTTTGGACTGATACAAGAATTTCTTTAATGATTTCCCTGGCAGTGTCTTGTTTCCTTCCAAAATATCATCAATATTTCTGCCTACGAAAGTCCTCTAAAATGCAGATTTGAAATTATTTTTGGCTTAAATATTTTCAGTGTCGGCATATCAACCTCAGTATTAATTCCAAACTTTATTGTGATAGAGAAGGCTATGTGTGCCACTCTAACCTTGAACTCTGAAGAAAGTGTCAAAGCGAGCTTAAATTCCAGTTTCAATGGTTAGTTAGCTGCATCACCTTTAGCAAGTCATTTCATCTCTATGAGCCTTTAGTTTCTCAATTGTAAAATGTTGGAAATACTAGTACTATTATTGAAAAGGTATTATTTTTGAAAAGATTGAATGACTGCATACATGTGAAATGTTAAGAATGTTCCCAGCACAAAGTAATAATTGTATCATTTCAGCTATTACTTTTATCCTATTGTAGCTTGTGTTTTTTCCCCATATCACAGCCCTGTGAAACTCATGTACAAACATACCTCTTATGCTGTACCTAAAATGATCTAATCGTTCTGTGGACTGAAAAACAACGCACAGCCTTAAAGTTGAAAAGTACGTTTTATTTGGGCAACTTACTGAGGACCTAAGCCTGGTAGACAGCTTCTCAGCTGTCTGAGGGGCTGTTCCCAAGAGATAAGAGATGAGCCAGGATAGATAGGAATTTTGGGGGGAAAAAAACAAAACAGGTTGTTGAAACATTAAAAGATTAACATTAATTAAAGAAAACAAGTCATCTCAAATTAATGTGTTTAGTAAGGTTTTCAATGTATGGGAAGATGCAAGGGTCTTGGCTCATAGAAATCATTCCTTTGATATGCACCTTAACTATCTAGGGTCAGTATCCTGCTTTTCTCCATCCTGAATTCCTTCAAGGTACACAGTCAGGAACCACCACCCCCGCGTACACACACACACACACACACACACACACGCTGACAGCTTGATGCCTGCAGTATCCTTTGTTAATAAACAATATCAATAGATATGAAAGTCAACATTCTTTGTCCACAGTACACACTGGGAACTTAGCTTCTACTTGTTCTTCATAACCTACTTCATCTTTTCGATACTGTGACAACTCTATATAGGTTACCTGCTTGTCCTGTATGTCATCTAAATATTCCTTTTCACATGTAAACCTTAGCTTTCTTGGCTAACTTTACTATAAGACCATAAATACTCTAAAGGCAAGAATTAGTTGTTTTGATATTTTTTTTTTAAGTCAGTGTATCTGACAGAATAGAAAGCAGCATATAATAGGTATGTGATAAATAATTGAATAATTGTTTTTGTGAAATGGAGACAAAGAGGAAAGTTCTCCTCAAATTTTTTCTCTTTTTTAAAACTTGAGGAAAATTGTTTTCTACATTAAGATGTTATTATTGATGATTTTACTCTGTGCATTTAATGAGAAATAAAACAACCCAATATGCAGAAGCTGCCTTATCCTTTCAGGGCTAACAATAGCAGCTACGCTGGATCATCTAAAAAGCAAGCTTTTGTCTTTTCTAATTGAGACACTGTTCATTTATAGGAGTGATAAGAAAACATTCTCAAAGCATTTTTCAGTCTGGAAAGAGTTAAAATAATGCAAATGTTATTGAAGTACATTTTACTTTTAACCAATTCTAGCCAGCTAGTGTGCTGCCCATGTAATCAAGAACTGCTTTTCTGAAATTTTTATGCACTGTTTATTTCTGAATAATTGTTTTTGTGAAATGGAGACAAAGAGGAAAGTTCTCCTCAAATTTTTTCTCTTTTTTAAAACTTGAGGAAAATTGTTTTCTACATTAAGATGTTATTATTGATGATTTTATTCTGTGCATTTAATGAGAAATAAAACAACCCAATATGCAGAAGCTGCCTTATCCTTTCAGGGCTAACAATAGCAGCCACGCTGGATCATCTAAAGAGCAAGCTTTTGTCTTTTCTAATTGAGACACTGTTCATTTATAGGAGTGATTAGAAAACATTCTCAAAGCATTTTTTAGTCTGGAAAGAGTTAAAATAATGCAAATGTTATTGAAGTACATTTTACTTTTAACCAATTCTAGCCAGCTAGTGTGCTGCCCATGTAATCAAGAACTGCTTTTCTGAAATTTTTATGCACTGTTTATTTCTTATTTTATAAGTAAGCCTTTTATTTTTGCATTGATTCCCGTTACAGTGCGGAGAGCAGTGGTCTAGAAACAACCCATGAATTGCATTATCTAATTTAATTAAGGTGAACTGACAGTTTCTCGAAAGATTCTGCAGACACCAGACAACTAAAAATGAAACTAAAATAGCTTTGTAGTGGACATAAGCTTCTGTTATTTACCATCATTATGCATTCTTACGTTCCTTGACAGGAGTTTATGAATAATTCCACAGATACCACAGTGCTTGATTTACATAAGCAAAGCAGGTGTTTCCAAATGTTAGCCTACTGCTTAGTCCCAACCAGTCCTAGAAGAAGATCATTGTCTCTAATTTTGTGAACCATACCTCTGATTGTGTGGCACTCAAGTCTATAAAAGCTATTTTATTGTACCAGTATAATCCCTTTTGATCCAAGTATCTGTGAATTCTCCTTGCCGTGCGGTTTCTTGGTCAGAGGATGCAGTGTGCTTCCATCAGTAGGACTTTGATCATATGTGGCTTTTTGGGAAAAGATAAGTTCCTGGGGCAAGGAGAAAG